TTCGCTATCTAAATGTATCTTACCATTCGTGAATACATCGATACGATCAACTTTGATTTTAATCTGCGGGTTCGCAAAAGGGAGGAGGTACGACGCGTCCCTGACACATTAATTTACGCGACGCGTATCGAAGCGGCACGATGCTTCGTTCGTTTTATTTTTTCTCTTCTCTTTTTTCTTCTCTTTTCTTTTTTTTATTTTTCTTTTTTTTCTTTCTTCGTTTCATACTTCGATCGGGAATGATAATTAATAAAGTCGCTCGCTCGGTCGTTCCACTGTGTCTTACATACAGTAATATACTACAGTGTATATACTATACACACACATACACACACACACACATACACACACATATATATATATATATATGAGTAAGCTTATGCATGTTATACGGACGAGACTTGATCGTACACGCGCGTGCATGTACATATGTATGTACATAAGTACGTATATCCGTAGGTGCACCTTCGAGCGACCACGAGCGCGGAAATTACTTGCTTTTTACGAGCGAGTCGCGCGTGCGTTTGCTGCGAATAATCCGACACAAATATCATATCTTTCTCCTTTTTTATTATTTCTTCGAAATGAAAAAGAAGAACGTAATCTCATATTTATATTTCGTAAAAATTCGAATAAATAAATATATGGAAAAAAAACAAAAAAAAAAGAAGACAAACAAAAAAAAGAACAACAAAAGAAAATAAATAAATCCTGACATATTCTCAATCACTTAATCATACGTTCGAAGGAATGATCAATATGCTTGAAGAGGAAACGTGGTCTAATTCTCACGATAAAGATATGATAAAACATCGGAAACATCGAAGGTATGCCTTTGTACTCGATACGATCGATTTCTTCGATGTATGTTACACGATTTCGTAGGTATTAAGTGTCTACCTCACGTACGAGTTACCTACCCAACTGCTTCGAGAGAACAGAGTTCGCGTGCCGAATCGATCGATCATTATCATCGTCTACCATGCAAGTTGTCTATAGTGTTTATGGTTTAATATGTGGAATGCTTAAAGAGAGCTGTACATGTATTTCCAAGTATCGAAAGTGTTGTCGCATTTAATTGATCTTATATATGCCTCGATTAAATTTTAATTTCAATTACGTTTTTCTATATATTTTATTGAAGAAAAGAGAGAGAGAGAGAGAGAGAGAGAGACAGAAGACAGGAAAGGAAAAAAAATCTCCATGGTCACTGTAGACCATGATTATAATTAGAAATCGATGGGAAAGCAGTCATGAAAGAATACAAAATCGATTCAACGATGACCAGTAAATAATAAGAACGACGACGTTCATTTATGCGTTTGCCCTTTCCTGATTATATCACGACCCTGACGCACGCGCACACGTACTCGTTAGATTTGTTTGCGTAGAAACTTATCCACGCGGTGAGCACGATGTTCGATATCGCTAAGAGATATCGGTTATCGATATATCGATTTATTCTCGTGCATATACATACGTACATATACGAGGTAGTCTTTCATAATAGGATGATACGATTGGAGATACAAAACGTTCGTTCGACGTTACTCGAATCATTTTGCATTCTCATCGTCTCGAGAGCTAACTCGGGGACATTGTCCGTAATTATCGTAAAGAAACGAACGAGTAGAACAATGTAAACACGCGTCCATGTTGTTCCCAGTTTACCGCCATCACCACCACCACCACCACCATCACCACCACCATCTAAAACAGCAGTAATACTTACTTAGTGAATATTCATAACGTGACACTTTGTACAGTACGTAACGGTCGGCTCCTAGGGAGAATTAAAATTTCAACGCGTGTCCAAATATTTTCGTGCTGACCGCGCGGTCGGGAAGATCGGTAGAAATGTATCCTGCATTTTAATGGCTCCGCCAAAGAGAGTGAGAAGGGATAAACGGAGGGAGAAGAGAAAATTTATTATATACAAGAGAAGGAAAAATGAAAAACGAAATAAAGAAGGGAAAAAAAAATATTATGAGAAAAGAGAAAGAGAGAAAGAAAAAAGGAAAAAGGATACGAAGAAGGGAACAATAGCAAGAGGAGAAATGGTATATACAATGACAGTTTCACGAGCTTAGTTACGTCGATGCAACGAGCGTGCGTTTAAGTCGATAAAAATCATCGATTTATGTACGGTACACGTGGAAAAGAAAAGGAGAAAAGTGTTGAAAAGTTGAAAAGAGGAGACAACCTGTCGGGACAAAAGTCGAAGAATGTTATTCGACTCGCGTAACCTTTAATGGCGGACACGTACGCGTTAATGTCTGAACGCGAGTAGTCGAGTAAGCTTCGACGTATCGAGTTAGCTACGAGTATCGATGCTTCGGAATACATCCGGTGGTTTAACGTGCTTCGTGAACTTAAAGCATCCCTCTTTGAAAATACGTTATTCATATCTCTCTCTCTCTCTCTCTCTCTCTCTCTCTCACTCTCTTTCTCTCGTCGACATCTTAGCCGGTAGCTCAACATAAATTCCATACGGGATATA